TTCAACTAATTTTGCACAGGCATCTTGGTCAAGTCTCAAATCATCATCAGTTTCCCCAATTTCACAAACAAGGGGGATAAAATAGAATGGAGAACAAATGTTTTATAAATTTACAAACCGCTGACCATCGGTTGGAGCTGGAACTCGGTCAAAATAACATAGACAGCAGCAAATAAAGCAATATCTCGTTTAAAGGGCACAAAATAAGCTTTCAAGATAAAATTTATAGTATTCCTGAAACCTTATAATACCTTAAAAAACATACTAAACAGGCGAAATGTTGTAAACAAAATTAAAAGTCACAAAACTCATCAGGGGGCCTTTCGGGTTTTGTTTAGTTCAAAGCTAGATCTATCGATCTTAAAAACCGGCCGCAGCAAGACATGGGATTCAAAATCATTTAAAAATATGTCTTCAATGGCAATGACACTCATCAACATTACCATGAAGAACGGAAATAAATACTCCAAGCTTGATATGTGCCTTTGGTCCATCAAAATAGGAACTGCATGCTGGGTTTAAGCGTGTTAAAATGCTATCTTAAATGTGTCGACACGGTAAACCATTCGGCCTAAAAAAAAATTCCATGTCCTCGTTGAGCTTTCTTTATAAACAAAAGCAACTGACCTACGGGATCGAAGTGTATAATTTTTTACCACGAGTTCGTAATCACTTGATTTTGGCTTATGAACAAGAGGTAATCAGAATGATATTAGGTAATAATCTCTCGAGCCAAGATGCGTGTAGTTTCCTTTTCAGTCGAAGGAACCCGAGAAAACCTCTCATAAACGGTGATGGAGGAAGTATAATTTTGATGACATAAAACCAAGCGACTGTGGTCTTTTGTACTTCGGAAGGAAAATTGAATACGAAACAAACTGCGAGAAATAAAAAAAAAATACAATCGATAGGTTTCCTACGATAAAAAAAAAAGCGTTCGAAAACATTTTCATCCTAAGCGGCTACATGGCTGCTAACTAAAGAATTACTTGGAAATTTCCGCTAAAACATCAAAGAAGAGCGAACTGTCTAACCTTCCTTTTATACTGAAGCGTATTCTGATAACTCCGTGATACCTACAAGATAAGTGGAACTCGAGACATTCTTCTATCAGGTACGATATTTATTAGTTTCTTATTTAGAAATAAAGATTGCATCAGTTCTTTGGTTACTCGAGAGAAATTTTTATCATACAAGAGACTTTGCAGGTCTTTTATCTCCCTTTTTTCCCGATGGTTTTCTGATAAAACCGCGTAGTGAACATTTCCATGAAGAGACACCTGTCGAAGATATAATTCTTCTAGAGGAGATAAATATGTACACATCATATTTATGATGTGTACATATTTATCTCATTTACTTATGAGTTTTAAATCTCAAATCACTTCTTTGATAATATATTTCATATTTGTTTATGTGATTCTCCAATTCAAATTAAAAGCAAAAGCCAAAAGAAGAGCACTAAGGGTTTCGATAAAAGCTGATTATCAACAAACTTTACGGCGCAGCCAATTGAAAAAGTTTTTTAAGGAAGGGTCTTAACCATCATAATGATTTAGAATTTCCACAGTATAGCATCTCCGTGACGGACTTGGAAGAGCAGCGTATTATCATTTTTAATTAATGGTTCTGTCAGCAAAATGTTAGGAAACACACATAAACTTTTGTGACGCTAGCCTTCTGGCAATTTTCAGACGTACTCAAGCGGGCGTCCTTTGACTAAGCAAGAATGATTTTTTTCGACCTCGCCCTCACTTTAAGCTTTCTAGACGGGTGATGTATTTTGCTCTTTAAAATATGCGAAAAACATTTTAGTCTAGCAAAAGGACTCATGGTGGGCTGCATAAAGAAACATTCAGTTTGTTGACAAAGACAGAAGTGGCTGTTGAAAAAAAAATGAATGTTTCGTTTAAATAATAAATTTTTAAATGACATCCCATTAGGATGAACCAATCTGAGGCATCCAACTTGGATAGTTTGTCATTCTTTTAACAGACGTACGTTTTACACCTGCAACAGCGCTTTAGTCTTCCTGTTCATAAGTGAATTCTAATGAAAAATGAAATGGCTTCACGACCAGAATAGAAGTCGAAGCAACCGCATTTCAGGTATCTAAATCACCTGTTACAATGAATATATGAAGTTCATATATTTTTAACTGCGGTATTAGATACGTATGATGCACGATCCTCGCAGTAGAGAGCGCTATTTATGCAATAGCGAAAATCAGACCTGAAAAAAATCAGGCCTGTACGGGATTCGAACCATTGACCTCTGCGATACTAGTGCAGCGAATCAACTTAACGGCCTGCTCCACCGCTGCACTAGTATCGCAGAGGTCAGTGGTTCGAATCCTGTACAGGCCTGATTTTTTTCAGGTCTGATTTTCGCTACTGCATAAATAGCGCTCTCTACTGCGAGGATCGTGCATCATACGTAAATCACCTGTGTTTCTAGTTAATTAAACAGAAAAACTCCTGATATGATTTACTACATATTA